TTTCCAGCACGGCACATTGCACACAAAGGCACTCGCTATATTAATGGCATATCTATTACTGGTACAGCCTTGGTCCCCACCACCTACAAGTTCAGCAAGTTAGATCAATAACACTGAACCATATAAGTATGTGCAGAGACTATAGAAATCAACTATCAAAGAGAGGAATAAACTAGAAATAGATTCATGCTCATTTAGTAAAAGAAGCACTAAGTATGCCAACTGGGGCATCCAAGCAAAGACAAAGTACATACCTTCTTGCAAACAGAAACCTAACTGATTCTAGGATGCGCATTTGAACATCAATATTCCATATTGAATGTAACCAGAACAAGGCCTTGGCACAGTTTTCTCTAATCCTTCCCTCCCCATGTACTCTGCCCATGGTACCTGTTACAAATTCTTACCACATAGTACCATAATCATTTGTTTTTGTCTGTGTGTGCTGTTGTATTCTCAAAAGCAGGGACAATGCTCATTTACTTTTCTATAGCCTTAGAAGGACTTCAGGAAATATTTGATAAACAAGCAAACAATGATTGTTTAAAACTGGAAACTGTTCATGTACCTATAAGGTTCTCCCAAAAGAGTCAATTTTTAAATTTTAATGAAAGGAAGGAGATTTCGTTTTTAAAAAGTTATTTTCTACTGCAAAGCTTCTTCTCCCTCTTGGCCTATATATAATCTTCCAAACTTCACAGGGGTTCAATAAATGATAAATTCCTTTCTGGTATGATCATGGCCCACAGTTGCCCTGGTGATGGCTTTGGTTGTCTGTGCTCCATTTACTAAATGAAAAGACACAAGCAGCCAGAGTCAATTCAGTGGGAGGTAAGTGTGTAGTATTTGATGATGTGACTCAGTAATGTCCTCAAAACACCTCTCTGGGGAAAAAAACAAGCAAATCATCACAAAAACAGTCACCACTCACATGACAATTACTAAATCTAAGAAGAAAGATTTCAGAATCAATGGTGAAGACACTATAACTTAGGAAGAAGCAGTAATACTCTATAAGCCATTTAAAAGAGCAGTATTTCATGAGCAAAAAACATATATAGGACACGGTCACTTAAATGTATAACAATGTTTTCACTGACTGTTCAAATGAGCACTCTAATTTCACACTTTAATTAAATGTGCTCTATCACAGAAGATAACACACAGAGCGTCATAGCCCTTTCTTAGCGGTATCTACAGAACAAATAGTATTGTTTGCTGTTTGTTTCATTTTGTTTCAGTTCTCCATTCTATGTTAGGCAGACTGATTTATCTGAAATGAATTTTTAGCCACTCCAAAGTCATGCAATTTGCTATTTGGGAGCAGAGAATATTAGTTAACTGTTGTCAAAAAGACCTGGACAAGGCTCCCTCGTGTTCTACAGCTATTTGATCTGGATCACCTTTGTCAAGCTCTGTAAAGTGTAGGTAATGATAGCATCTGCCTTAGAGACTTGCTACCAAGGTTAAGTGAAAGGAAGCATACAGAGCATGCCTTACAGAATGCTGGCATGCAGGAGGCCTCAACTGATGTCTGTTACTGTCACTGCTCCATCTGCATCTTCTGTTCCCAGTTATTTCAGCACTTGCCTGATCCTCTATAAGAACCTTAACAGAGAATTTACAACCATCAATTATATTGTTTCTAAGAAGTTCCCTCAAAAAAGAAAAGTGAATGAGGAAGGGTAAGAAGTGGGGAGGGTGGGAGAGGGGATAAAAGGAAGGGAGAGTAGGAAAGGAAACGTAGGAGAAATGAAAGAAAGAATGGCAAGCTAAACTTGTGAAGTACGCATGGCCTGTCTTTCTCCATGTCACACAAACTAAGAAAACAGAAATCAGCTGTACTTGCAAATAATGTCTAAGGTTAGTGACTACCAGGCGCACAGCTTAAAACTTTTAACTACAGACATCAAAGCACATTCGAGTCTGAGAACACAGAATAGAACTGTTATAATAACTTCAAATTCAACAAAATTGACACAATTCCTTTTATAAAATTCTCTTCTTCCATTTCTTTAGTCTCCTTCTTGTAAGATATTTAAATTTCATTTGTACAGTTTCCCAAAAATTCAAAACATATTTTAACACCCCTATGAATCTCTAAAACATATTTCCATCTCAGATTTTTTTTTTTTCCTTCCCAGTTCATTCAAGGATACCTAATAACCTGGCTGATCTAATTGTATTACAGCAATCTCATTAATGTGCAATAATGACGTGGAAACCTGTTTCAGATAACAATATTCAGCCAATTACTGTATGAAGAAACCTCACAAAGATCCATCAAGGATACTGGAAACTAGGCAGGGAAGCACAACTCCAAGTGACAACTGATATGTAAGCTGAGCATCCCCTGATTTGCTTTCTTAGCTGTGGCCTCCTGATACCAGGCACTCCTGGGAGGAAGCTTAGGACTCATTCAAATCTTTTTTTAAAAGCAAAACAAAATAAAACAAATGATCAAAACACCACAGAAGTATCTGAAGTCAGCTCCGACTCAAGGAGAGGTTAAATCTTTCTTATTTGCTCCAGTATATTTAGTTTTCTATTGAGACACATATATATCTAGGCTGCTTTTTCTTTTCTTCCTGTTTCCTATTACTCTTACTTTTCTTTTTCCCTGTAAAATCAATCACTCAGTCTAGAATCATGATTATAGAGATGACTACAGATCAAAGAGGTAACAAATTTCACTTGGTTAGAAATCATTTATATGACAGGCATGACAGCCCCTGTTTAAATATTTCCTAATAAGGGGACCCTCTGCTGATAAATGGCTCTAGTCATTAGAAAAATTTTATATATAACAACATCAGCAGCCGGACTCGGTAACTCAGCCTATAATCCTGCGCCTTTGGGAGGCTGAGGCGAGTGGATTGCCTGAGCCCGCGGATTTGAGACCTGCCTGGGCAACTTGGCGAGACCTCATCTCTACAATAAATCAAAAATTAGCCGGGTGTGGTAGCGCGCGCCTGTAGTTCCAGCTACTTGGAAGGCTGAGGCGGAAGGATAGCCGGAGCCCAGCAGGTCGAGGCTGCGGTGGCCGGGAGTGGCCACTGCACTCCAGTCTGGGCGACAGAGTGAGACTCCAACTCAAAAACAAACAAACAAAAAAAAACAACATCAGCAATTAATTTTTATTGGACATTTACTGTGTGCCAGACCCTTTGCTAAGAACTTTTTTTTTATAAAGATGTAGGGCACAATTCAGGGTTAGGTATACAAACGTTGATTACGCAAGTAACCTTGTTGATGATAACTACATGGGCCAGACTCGGTGGCTCAGCCTGTAATATCAGCATGTTGAGAGGCCAAGGCAAGTGGATTGCCTGAGCCCACAGGTTCAAGACCAGCCCGGGCACATTGGCGAGATCTGTCTCTACAATAAAATCAAAAAATTAGCCAGGCATGGTAGCGCATGCCTGTAGTTCTGGCTACTTGGAAGGCTGAGGCGGAAGGATCGCCGGAGCCCAGCAGGTCGACGCTGGGGTGGCCGTGAGTGTACCAAGGCACTCCAGCTTGGGTGACAGAGTGAGACTCTGACTCAAAAAACAAACAAGCAAACAAAAACTTTACATGCATCCTCTCTGATAATACCCATACTGGAACTTCAAGGGTGGTATCGAGGTACCTCTGTTAACCATGAGAAAACCAAGACTCACAGGGTTAAGCACCTTGTCTGAAGATGTACAGCTATTAATTAACTGAGTTGTAACAAAAAATCCCTGGGTTTCTAGACACTAGAGCCCAGCTTTACAACTCCTACTCACAATTTTGACCCCTGTGCTCCTTCTCCTCTAGTACAGCCCTTCGAATATTTGAAAACTGTTGGTGAAGTCCCTTGACATTGTGCTGGACTTTCTCCCAAGCCTTCCTCAGCAGAATAGAGGCCTGACCTTTCCTTTTTCCTCTTATGCATCCTCGATCTGCAGGGTCCTGGACTCCACATCGAGGATGCATAAGAGGAAAAAGGAAAGGTCAGGCCTCCAGTCTTCCAGCCCAGGTAACAGGATCCTGCACTTCATGCACCCTACTTTCTTACTCTCACCCCATCCTCAGTTCCCAACCTTTACCAGAGGCCTATCCACATTTCTTAGACACCAAGGACCTCTCTTCCCTATTCTGCTACAGGAGATCCTGTGATCAACCCTGAGTCAGAACTGCCCTCCAAGGCCACACAGCAAATGTCCTTCTATGGGATCAGGGTAGGGAAAGCCTCCAGAACCATCCATATCAGTTTCTTTCCACTTAGTGCTTTCTGCCTATGTGAGCTCAACTGTCCAATCCCAACCTACTTTGCCTGGAGCCTTTATACTCCAAAAAAAATATTTTTTAAATTAAAGTCAGATGACTTTTTAAAAATACAGCTCTGAAACAGTTTAGAAGTAATCATTTTATTAAGCAATGGTCCTGTAGAAAAGAGCTGGAAATACCTTTTGCAAGTTCCTATATATATGAGCAGAATGCAATCAGCAACCTCGTCTTTCTATTTTCCCTCAGGTGGCACTGCCTAGGCTGAGGGAGGTGACCGACCAAGCATTAAGGGCCTAAGTGTTTCACATTGTGTTTTAGTGTATTTATGAAATACCTGCTGAGTTTGGGGCATTATACCAAATGCAATAAGAACAAACATGGATTATGCATTGGCTTAGTTCTCAAACAGTTTGAAAGATAAACTACACTCCTGTGACATGTATCAAATGCCTTGGGGGCAATTATAAATCAACAAATACGAAATCATAAAGTACAAATCTAGCATTCAAGAACTGGCAAAGAATATCTCCAAAAACAAGAGTCTTTGCAAAATAAGATGGAAGAAATAAGTTCTTCCAGGGTTCAGCGTTACAGATAAATCTAGAGAGGAATCTGAGGAGAGAAATCTGAGTGATATGGCCCCCACAGAAGTATGTAAATACCTGTTAAAATTATGCAAATGAGGCTACATGAGAAGAGAGTATTGCTTACAGAGGCTGTAAATAAAACGTGAAACTCTTTACTACCTGAACTGACCAGCTGTTGTTCCATCACTCCACAGCCAAGAACTTCTAGCCACTCTCCATGGAAGTTGATCTCCATCTCGAAAGAAGGATGAGTAAAAGGAAAGTAGCAGTCTACCCATCTTATCTCCAGCCCTGCAGAGTTGCCAAAGAAAAAACAAACAAATAGCTTTAAAAGGCAGTATACTCTTCCTTGTGATCAAATTTGCCCTTCCACTAATGGTACCAATTACTACATTCTGAGTAAAATAAATAGCAAACAAACTAATTTGCAACACATTAAGGTGAGGCAATAAATCTTAAAACTTGTGAAAAACTGGGCATGTCTTTTCCAATATGAGAAACACTTTGTGTAATTCCAGGACTCTCTAAAACCAAATCAATCACCTGTCAAATCCCTGCAAACACTTGCAAGTTGAAAAAAGTAGGCAGATATCATGGCAAAGCAGGTAATTCTGTTAGTTTCTTTGAGAAAGAATGACATTGTTTCAGAGTTAAACACACCATATGCTCTCTCCAAATTTGCATACCAACAATATGACCAATTTAGAATAAACTATACAAATTTTACTTCTATAAATATATATAAATTTTAATTTTATAAAAGCTGATAAAAAGTTAAATAAGATAAAATCTATCAAATTTAAGCAAAACATTTAAGAAGTCAAACAGTTTTCCTACAAATGAATGATCTTATATTTAAATAAACAAGCAAAAAAAGTACATGCTAAATGCCAGACTGGATTTCTCAATAAGCGATCATATATATAAATATTTAACGATGAACTCAAAACAATGACAGCCTGCAAAGAGCAGAGGTCACAAAAAGCAGTGTAGCTAGATAAGAGGTTCAGCTAGGAGATTGATGCCCACTATGGAGAACACAGAAAAAAAGTAGGTATGTGATAAATTGTCTCCTCTCCTTGTACCCGTTTGATCCTTTTCCTTCATTTGATGAGCTCTCTCTTCTTCTTTCAGGCAACACTTTGCTAAAGGGCCCAATTCTCCATGTAACATGCGTGCCTCTGCCACACACACTCCTTCCCCACCAATGAAAACACTGTATTTTCTCACCCAAGACTACCTGCATTTTAAATCTTGTGGAACTTAGAATGTGAAGTGAATAAAAATAATAGCAAAAATTGTTTCATCTATTGAGCACTTAATATATCTCTAACAACCCATTTCATAGAGAGGAAACAAACTATCAGAGAGGGCACGTGTCTTGCCATAAGTCACACAGCTTGCAGATGACTGGGCCAAACCCAGGTCTGCCCAACTCCAATACCCTTGCTCTTTACAATTAAAACATAATTCCCTGATCATCAAAAAAGATATTTCAAGAATCAAAAATAAGATGGGAGTATAATTATGAGGACATGGGGGCCTTTCCTATGTCCCAAATTCCACAGGAGAAGGTAGATTTTCTTTCATTATTCTGTTTTGGTTGCATTTATTCTCCTTCTTACTCACTGCCTATGCCAAGTTTCAACCGACTTCTGTTTACAACAGTAAAACAATATTTCCCCCCTTTATTACCTATGTGGTATAACAAATAAACATTAGATTGCACATACATAAAGTATACAATTTGCATGCATATAATAAATGTTAAATATGTATACACTCATGAAACTATCACTACAATCAAGCTAATGAACACATCTATCTTCCTCCTTGTGCCCTTGTTTCCTTGTGCCCCTTTGTAATCCTGCACACCTGCTTATCACTTCACCTCTTCTGCCTCCTCCCATCATATCCCCTGGTAATCACTGATTTTTTTTTCTACCACTACAGATGAGTTTGTATTTCCTAGAATTTTATACAAATAGAATCATACATTATGCATGCTTTTTTGGTCTTTCACTCAGCACAATTATTTTAAGATTCACCCATGTTTTTATACAGCACAATACTCCATTCTTTTTTATTGCTGAGCAGATCTCACCAACACTTTTTCTAACTGGATAAACAAAGCTGGCCCTGATGCAGGCCACTGGGGAAATGTCCAAAAGTCCTGAGTAGTCAGACTTTTCTGTGTAGAAGTTCACATGTGCATAGCAGTTGCTTATTTTGACTGTATTCTGATAAGTCACCTGTGTGTATGCCCATCTTTGGGAGCAACAATTACCTATCAATATTTTTATAAAACCACTAGAGACAATCCTGCTAACAAACAGAAATGTGGGGTGCCATGGGACACATACCCGAGTGCAGAAGGACTGGCAGACAAAACCATTTTTATCATTTTTTTTTCTAACTCCTGGCAGGTAAGCAAAAATAATTTTATGAAAACAGTTTCAAAAAATAAATGTTGTGTACATGGGTTTTTACACTTGGCTTGAATTTTACCAAAAGCAGAAACAGTATTCCAAGTAAACATCATGTTTTCATCATCACATGATTAAACATTAGCAAAGTGTTTGCAGCATAGAAGTTAAGTAAACTCTACACAAATAGTTTTCTTTGTATGTCCTTATATGTAAAAGTTATTTTGAACTGGCTAATCAAGTATGGAAGAGTTTGATTTATGTAACTTTATATCTCATACCTGTAATATCTTAGGTTCCCCCTAGTCCAAAAGGAAGAAGTGTCAAGACATTAAAAACACTCAGAATAATCACAAATGTTGATTAAAGTCATTCCATGATCAATGTTTATTAAGCCCTAACTAAATGCCTACTGCATATGGACTCAGGGAAGCCCATCTGAGCTACTGGTGCCCACGGTGCTAGCATAACACAAGAACAGAATTGAAAAGTGCTGTTAACAGTCTCTTCCCTTCTTCAGGAACATTATTTTACTGAAGGGCTTTACCTTACCACTTTTATAATTAGAAACAAAAAAAAGGTATAACTTTGGATTGAAAATGTCTGTAATGTTAAACAAATTCTTAAGATAAAACAATATTTTAAGATAAAATACGTTATACCAGTTCTTGCTCTGTTTTGGTTTAAGACCCCAGCCTCCATGGCCTTCGATTTCTTCTTGTTCAACCATCCTGCAGGTGGCTCTTTTGCTAACAATGAAAATAACTGTTCCACACAGAAAACTATACACAGCAAAGCATAAAAGGCAGAAAAGTTAGCCAAAGTTTAATAGAATTCATGAAGATGACAAACACTGATGATTTGTGGAGCAAAACCCACTGATGAAACAGATAACATAGGCTAGCAAAAGCTGTGTCAACGAGTCTGGGAAGTTTCTAATCCCTTTCACCTCCTCATATTCTTTACTGTGCTTCCTTTAAAAACTATATGGCCAAGCATGGTGCCTCAGCCTATAACCTTTGGGAGGCTGAGGCGAGTGGATTGCCTCAGCCAGCGAGTTCGAGACCAGTCTGGGCAACTTGGTTAGACCTCGTCTCTACAATAAATCACAAAAAACTAGCCAGGTGTGGTGGCGTACGTCTGTAGTTCCAGCTACTTGGAAGACTGAGGCAGAAGGATCATCTAAGACCAGCAGGTCAAGGCTGTGGTGGCTGTGAGCATGCCACTGCACTCCAGCCTGGGCAACAAAGAATGAGTCTCCAACAAACAAATAAATAAATAAACAAACAAATAAATAAAATCTATATGACCCTGCAAAGAATGCCAAATCCATACACCATTTATTTCCTTTGTTCCACTACTTTAAAGTAAGCCTTCAGTTCTTAAGTTTTGCCTCCATTACGTAAATAGACAAAAGCCAAACTGTGCTTTTGAAGTCTTACCCTAAAATCTTTGCTTAGACCAATGTCCTGAAGCATTTCACCTATATTTTCTTCTATTAGTTTTGACTTCAGGTGTTAATTTTAAGTCTTGAATCCATTTTGAGTTATAATAATTATTTGAAAGCAAATTACATTAGTTAATGTATAACTAATATCAAAATACCATATTCTTTTACATATTCTAACAATTTAAATTTCAGTTACAATGACACGTTAACAATGATTTTTGGCCAGGCACAGTGGCTCATGCCTGTAATCCCAGCACTTTGGGAAGCCAAGGTGGAAGGATCACTTGAGGTCAAGAGTTCAAAACAAACCTGGGAAACATAGTAAGAGCCCATTTCTACATAAAATAATATAATGAGGCAGGTATGGTGTCATGTGCCTGTAGTCGTAGCTACTCAGAAGAGTGAGGTGGAAGGATAGGTTACAATGGGCTATGATTGTACCATAGTACTCCAGCCTGGAACAGAGCAACACCCTGCTTTAAAAAAAATTTTTAAGTGATTAAAAGAAAAAAAAAATCACTAGTAGTAGAATCATTTCTTGAAGACTTTTTTATCCTCAAAATTCACTTTTTCTTGTTTTTCATCCCATGACTTCAAAATTACTATAGGTATTATTATAGCTGATTAAAAAGCATCTTGACATGCTTCTTGTATTAAAAGATATGGTACTGAATAACTAGCTCAAAACTATGCTGAATATGACTTCTTTCACATGTCAAGTATTAGTAGTCAGCAAAAATACCCACTAAATACTACATATTTTATGTTACATATTAATAGAAAAAAATTTTTATCAAGTATGTCCAAATCATATGAATTCATTTTGTATTAGACTAATCTCTTATTGGAGTTATAGAGGAAAATTAAGTACATCTGTACTATATATATCTAATGAAGTTTTTCCTTCTTTATTTTTTTTGAGGGGGGTAAGTTTGATAATTTCTCAAACTATATTTATAAACAAATCTCAGAGCTTTCCAAAATAGCTTGAGAACTCTGATATTACAGCAACCCTCAAAATTGCACATATCAATTTTCAGCCTAGAGCCAAGTTGTAGAAAGTGCACTTTAGAATCAACTACCTCTGGGTTCTAGCCTCAGACTTCTACCTTCTTTCCTGTGAAAGTATGGGAGGTTTATACCCTCTCTCAGTCCCAGTTACCCCAACTCTACATATAATGATTACTATTACCTCAGTTTTTTTCTTTTTTTAAGGGGTACATATGAGTACTCATTACATGCAAGTGGTAGTGGGGATTGGGTCTCAGGTGGCCCATTCCCCACATAGTGAACATTGTGCCCTGTAGGTAGTTTCTGAACCCTAACTCTCCACTCCCCTCTTCTCGGTGTCCTCAATATCTATTATTTTCATCTTTGTGACCATTTAGCTCCCACATATGAGTGAGAACATGCAG